CTAGGAGGAGCTGTTACAGGGCCAAAGAAGTGAGACTCATCATCGAGTTGACGTGTCATCTTTTGGGTAGCGAGTAGGCAACATGATGATCCAGACTGGACCAAGACCAGACTTTTAGTGATCCCGAAAGATTTCAATTCAAGTTGCATCGTCTTATGGATAGGGCAAGTTTTGGCTTGGATTGGGATGTCATTCAGTCGGGTTACCAACCAGTCTGTTCAACGAACATCTGATTAACTGGAATCTTCATCTCCTAAATGTCATGGCTTTCTTCTATCAGACTATGAGATTGTGATTTAGCCCTTCTCCCATGCTTAATGAGGGCTCGTGATGGCTTGACCCATTTGTAGCTGTGTCCGTTCATTTTTAATGTTATCCTCATATTGTCCGTCGAAAGAATTGCTGGCTTCTTGAAATCATCCGCAGTTGTTACACTTTGAACTATTTTTGAACATTATTATTATGCGACTTTCAGTCTGTGCAAAAATAAACTGAGATCGCTGTTTGCTTTCTCGTTTCGCGACCCATTCGTGATTCGCTTGATTCTACGCATTTTTAAAAATCAGTTTGCTGTCGAAGTCAGCTGTTTGCCCTTCGTCCGTACGACACAGTAAGCAGTTTTTCACAAACACAGATATTCTCAGAAGCGGGTTTTTTTCAATGTAAACAGACTGGATGAAGAAATGATCCGGCGAATTTTGCGGTTGCATAACGGCATGAAAATTCCTGTTCAGTCCACGCCAAGACCATTTTTACTTATGCTTCTCTGATCATCGCTTCAACTAACGAACGTTGAACGCAGACCATACCTAAATGCTTACAGTACAAATTCCCTGATGCGGAGGCGTTTATAGGTGAATGGCAAACGTTCTTACGTAGCTGGTTTGAAATAACAAATAAAGTTGACATCCTCAGCAAAAGGAATAACATACTTACGATATTGAGAAGCGTGGGTAAAGCTGCTTTTTGAAGAATCTGTTTGCGTTAACGACGAAAAACTCAATCAAGTTAGCTGCTATGTATGTCATGGTGACGTGATGAACTGCACAAATTCACATGATAAAGAAATCTGCGGAAGAACAAAGGTTCTGCGAGCTTGGATTAGCTTTAATTGTAATTAAATTGTAATTTAATTAGCTTTATTTTTGAAAGATGACAAAAACAAGCTCACTAATCAAAGAGCTACAGAGCCTGGACTGTACAACATCTTTCCTCGAGTCCCTATTCCCAATGTAGAAGTTCTCTAGCAAACAGGAGTCACAGATGTAACACAAGTTATCTGTGCTTAGCAGATG